TATATACAACAAATTATATCATGAAACCAAAAGTTTGTCAGTTTGCCTCTTTTTGGATCACTCGTTGGTATATTCCTCGAATGAAACTTTCATGCATGGACACTCAGTGGCGTACTAAGGGGAGGCCTCCGTATGCCATCCTTAATTTTTTTTTTTGGGGGGGGGGGAAGCAAGCATGAGCTTTTAATCGTTCAAACTCATTGAGTATACCCCCTCCCTAAACCCCACACCTCTGGCAAATTAAATAAGCTCTCCATGATGAGTTGGAAATAATAATATAAATCATGCTTGTATTTTTTACTCTAACATATTCAATAGACATGAGACACAATGATGTCACGCTTTGTTTACAAAGTCATGTGCGCTTTCCATTGAAGCTTGGTGGATCTCTTCCCCGTAGGAAAGCGCAAAGCATGACGTCATTACGTCTTAGGTCTATTTTCTTGAAATCAGCAAGTTTTAAGACAATATTAAAGATGTACTGTCCGAGCTGTTTAACAAATTCCCTTTTTTATCTTAATGTATAGTCATCTTGAACCTTCTGTTCTAACGATTAAAATTTTCCCTTATTTTTGACAACTGCAACCCCCTTGAGAAAAGGTTTTTGGATCGTTTTTGCGCACAAACAGATCCGCCCTGCGAGCAGACTGGTTGCCTGTCCCCAGAATTATGATCGTTTCTGATATAGAGGCGGGAACCAGTCGACGAGTGTCGGGGCCGCAAATAATTCAAAAGTGTGAAGTAAATATTCCAAAACTATTTGGTGTTTTCTCGTGTTGATGCTCGAAAATGGCCCGGACAGAACATCTTTAAAAAAAAATCTTGGTTTATAGACAATTATTTTGCTTATATCTTGGGGCATAGGTCGAGCCGGGTTGCAATGGAAGTTGGTGCATGATGTCACACTGATCACTGAAGGCCGTGTAAAATATCAGTCTGACTTGGGACACAATGACACCGGTCACAAAAAGAAGAACATTCCAATCATTCAAAGATTGACCTCAGAGGAAGTTTCATTTTGTGTAACGAGATGGAAACCATTTCTCACCTTGAGATTCTACAATCCAATCAACGATGACAATAAGTTGGTTCTTTTCATTTTTGTGCCGTAACAGATTTTCCCCCTCATGGCTGTGAGCAATCGTTATATTCCGCTTTCTGTGATGGCGATTGGAATCTTGAAAGCATCCAAAGGATCGACCATAGAATCTTCGAGCTGTAAGAAACAAGCCTACAGTTTACATGTTAGATGAAACATTTCGCACATTTAAACTGTTTAAAAAATTCAAACTGCTAAAGTGAACTCTTATTTTCTTTATTCTGTCATTGGTTCTTCTCATATATAAATAACAATGAGAAGAATCGAAATTAATTGGTAAAATTAATTTCCTCTGCAACACAATAACGGAAGACAGTAATACCAGGATTTTCAATGAGAACCAAGAACCGTCGTGTGCCTGTCAGAAGGGCGTATGCGCCCTCACGTGCGAACGCGAAATCACCCAAATCTAGTAGACTGGTTGCAGAACATTGCGTCAATTTTAATAAAATTTCAACATTTTCATAAGAAATTGACTCAATTTTTTCCAAAAATTATGCTTCACACGTGTGATCAATTTAAAATGTTATAATACGCGCGGGAGAACATTGGATTTATAATTTGCGAGGAGCTTGGGAACCGTTGGAGCTTTTCAATGCAATGTTAAAAGTGGTGTTTTTTTTTTAGGTCAGAACGTTCGTATGCTTTTCTGCCGGGCACACGATGTACCCAATTTGACGGATTGAGATAAATTGTGTGCATTACAATTAAAGTATACATTAAATTCGCGTTTAAAAATCATGGTCATCAATGTTCGAAATTGAAATACTAGGTTTATCCGAAGCTGTGGCCAAGATATTATGGTCTCCTTGCGCTGTTTGCAAAGTCGGACAATGTCCAGCGGTTAGACTCTCGTGAACTTTTTCCAGCCAGTGCAGGTACATGAGTCGCTGTCGTCTCCTGCTCGTTTACCCTCGATCTTTCCATTGAGGGCCAAATCTTTGAATTTTCCTTTTTGAATGACTCGTCCCAGGAAGTGTATAAGTGTCGGTTCAAAATGGTTGCCATCAGCTACCAAGATCAGACGTTCCAGTGCGTTGCAGAACCGCCCGGTTGGACACTCTGTCGACCCATGTAGTTCGCAGCATCTCCGCAAAAGCCAGGGAAAATATGTCTGGTGATAAAACGCATAATACTTGCCTCACAGCGCTCTTTATCTTCACATACTTCACTCAAGACGCCATTCGGTCTTACTGTCTGTTAGGAGACTTCCTTTTATCATGTTCTTAATCAGCTCTATGCACCTGTCTGTCAATGCAATATCGAGTGCGTCGATAAGCATTTCGACCATGGGTTCATGGCGCACTCAGTCGAATGAAGATTGCGTTTCGCGTGTCTTTATCCGGTGTGAAGCCGTACCGCTCTTCTACGGTTCTTCGTTCTCGCAATCTGTCCAGCATGATACGAAGGACTAGTTTCAAGAAATGACTCATTAAGCTGATCGTTCGATGTCGTTTGCATCCCGTTACTCGCGGTTTTTCTTCGGAAAAATGATGTACACAGATTTGCAAATCTCATGGGGAAACCGACCTTCGTCGTAGATTCTGTTTGCAAGCCGCGTTAACCGATCGACACCGATGTCACCCAGTACGACGAGCATCATCTACGACGACTCCATCTTAACCAGCTGCCTTGCCAGTCTCCAGCGCCTTCACTACCTCGTCCGTGCACCCTTCCGAACCGTCGGTCTCTCTCCCCTGTTATCTGCGAATAGATCATCGACTTTTGCCACCTCATCAGGATCCCCTTCTGTTCCACAACGATGATGCCGTCCTTCGCCTCGAACAGCTTCGCCTTTTCTTCGCCCGTCACCTGCAGAATCGTATCGTGCATCTTCTGTGGGTCTACTCGTTCAAGCGCTTCGATGTCTGCACACCGGCTGTTGTAAAACTCTTCTTTCGCTTCTCAGCAGAGAGCACGGATTTACGATTCCGGCGCCGTTTTACTTTTCTCTGTTCGTCCATCAGCTCCAATATCCGATGGGACGTCATTCAGTTGTGATTTGCCGCCCTGATAGTTCGCAGTAGCACCTGATCATCGACTTCTGTAAACCGGTTGAGTGAGCTTCAGGAAATCTTCTTCTAGCTCGATGGTGTTGGCATCACTCTCCTTAGATTCCATCCTGTCTCGGACTTTAAAGCCCGAGTCCATCATTTGCAGCTATCAAAAAAAGTAACTGGCGTAATTACTGTTGAAAAACATACTGGTTGAAAGATAGTAAGGGGACTAAACTCCCTGCGAAATTTTTCTTTCTGGCAAGCTCTCATTTTGAAGAAATCAACGAAAGAAGGCCTGTCCAACGGTGCATCTTAAGAAGCATCGTAGGAACATTTAAATTAGTAGTTCGTTTTGTTACTCGGCGCAGCGCGCACAAGCATTGGAACGACGCACAGGCGCGCGCGGTTGCTATAATTCGTCGGATCAGTGTGCGACATCGCGTAAAGCTGCAATTCAAACAATTCGAAACATGATTTAGCAACTTTTGATTTGAAATTGAGATCCTAGAATGCTGTTTTTCTCGGAAAATAAAGTTGAAGCTGAGCTGAAACTTCATCAAGTAAGTTGTTGTAAGTTGCACTAATTACAAATGATGGACTATTATAAATAGCTTTAAGTTATAGTCCATCATTTGTAATTTGTGCATTTTGTTCGTTTGCAGCAACAAGTGTTCAAAATCTAATGAAGGATACTGAACAACTAACCTGATGAAGTTTCAGCTCAGCTTCAGCTGTGTATTCCGAGAAAACAGCATTCTAGGATCTCAATTTCAAATCAAAAGTTGCTGAATCATGTTTTGAATTGTTTTGAATTGCAGCCATACGCGATGTCGCGCACTGATCCGACGAATTATAGCAACCGCGCGCGCCTGTGCGTCGTGCCAATGCTTGCGCGCGCTGCGCCGAATAACAAAACGAACTACTAATTTAAATTTTCCTACGGTGCGTCTTAAGACGCACCGTTGGACAGGCCTTCTTTCGTTGATTACCTCAAAATGATAGCTTGCCAGAAAGATTAATTTCACAGGGAGTTTAGTCCACTTACTATCTTTCAACCAAGTATGTTTTTCAACAATAATACGCCACTTACTTTTTCGGATGGCTGCAAAATTAGTAGTTCATTTTGTTATTCGGCGAAGCGCGCGCAAGTATTGGCATGACGCACAAGCGCGCACTGTTGCTATATTTCGTCGGATCAGTGCGCGACATCGCGTAGCTGCAATCGGCTCAGTGAGAATGCGTCTCGGACGCTGAATTCAGCCGCAATTCAAAACATGATTCGGCAACTTTTGATTTGAATTTGAGATCCTAGAATGCCGTTTTTCTCGGAATATACAGCTGAAGCTGAGCTGAAACTTCATCAGGTTAGTTGTTCAGTATCCTTCATTAGATTTTGAACACTTTTGTTGCTTCAAACGAACAAAATGCCTAATTACAAATGATGGACTATATCTTTAAATCAATTATTTCAATTTGTTGTTTACTAATTACTCATTAAAATAATAGCTACCTAATGCAAAAATGTACTCAAAACTTTAGCTTGGGCGTTATAATCCAACTTGGCATGGCTTTGGCTATGCTCATTGCAAGCTATGTTTTAAAGATTTGAAATTTCATTGCTACAGTTAGTGATGAAAAATCTTTGGAATGACTAATTATTAATGGACAACCTAAGGTACCATTAATTGGCATACCTCCTTTTACCGCACTGTCCACAGCTGCGACAGCACATTCCTCGACAGCTTTACTCACCACTTATTCAGCAAACTTGGAAAAAGAGGTTTTTTGGTCTTTGTTTTGCAATCAATGGTGTTCAATTTTTGCACAGCAGCCCGTTGTTTTTGGATTACCTTTTTTTTCATACACCCTGAACATCGATACGCGGTAGTCCGATTATGTCAAGGATGTCCTGCGTGACCAGCAAATCCCTACCGGGTGAGGCACCCACACCCCCGATGAAGCGGCCTGGCTTCCCTTTACGCCGTTGTGTCTGCTGTTCGAATAGGACGTCGTGGTCATGTTCTTGGGGAGAATACAGAGGTAGAAACCCCAGCTCCTTTCCTCCGAGTGTTTTGAAGACGAGTCACTACCTCGACCCTGGACCGTACTTATAGCAATGTCCGCTAACTGGACCGTTGAGTGCTGCTGTTGGTTTTGCCACGTTGACGTATGACCCATCCGCCAGCACCCTCATCGAGGTGTGGTTGGCACATCAAGTTCTCATCCATCTGCCTCATGCTGCTGCCCGTGGTGGTTGCTTTTAACCCCTAGCTGGGGCGGGGGGGATGGTTTGGGGCTTATACTTTACTGTCGCACACCTGATCGCCATGAGCCTCTGTGCTTAATCGAAACCAGGGGCCCCCGGGCTCACACCTCAGCCACGTCCGTGTAGATTACTCTTATATTGATCTCCCCCCCCCCCCCCCCCCGCCCCCACCTCCCCCCCCCCCCCCCCCCCAGTGTTGGGATATATGGAATGCAATAATGAACGCATGAGTGTTATAAATTGCACTGTAAATGCAAGTGTAATACGTGTGTATCGGAATGGGACAATTATCTGAATCAATAATTACTAGTTCTGTCCAACCCACCAATGCATTTTGTTATCGTTCCACGCTTGTCTACAGGCGGCTATATGGTGGCAATATAGTACATCTGGAGCCAGGCATATTCAACGGATTTTCTCGTCTCCTAGGGCTGTAAGTGTTTAGTACCTATTATGGGCGTTTGAGTTTGTGGCTTAAAAGACCCGCCCTGTGAGTAGCCTGGTTCCCGATCCCTACGTTATGTATCCTGTTATGGATGTTTCTAGATTAATAGGTCTTAATGGGTTTTGCATAGATATTCTGAGCCAAGTGGCACATGAAAAAAAAGCAAATGAAAGGCCCAATGGGTCCCTACGTTATGGATCCTGAGAGGAGCAGGAACCAGTCTACACTGCAAGAAATGAAATACCGACAGGCGTATTTGTGAAACTAAACGAACTAAGGCCGACTTTTATAGAAAATAATTTTGTATTGCACGGGAAAAGGCAATGGCAAATGACATTTTATTCAGGGCTCTATTCGAAAAAAAAAAGCCACTTCAATCTGTAATGAATTATGTAAGAGTAACTTTCACCACGTTATGGCATGAATCGGAATGATAAAAGATGCGTTCCTTATGCTATTTTCGAGTTTCCCCACGACAAATATTTGTTATTTTTTCAATCAATACTTTTCTAGCAATATCAATAGTTACTCACTTTTGAAAGAGATATCGAACAACGAAATCCACCCATGATTAGTTATTCAATTATTTCTTCACATGATTCGAATTATTTTCGGATCTCGCAGGGCGGGCTCATTACTTTTTGCGCAAAATGAAAACCCAGAATTCCTTCACCCAAACCGGATTTTTTTTCCGCTCGAACTAATTATGCACATTGAAAATTCGTCTTGAGGAAAGAAAAAAACTTCTCTTGGTGCACGGGTATGATGCAACTTTAATTTTACCAAGTAATATTAAGAGTGTTTTTCCCTATTGTAATATAACTATTTGGTACAATATTTCAACTTTGCTGTTCTTCATTTGATTCGACAGTGGCTTGGTGGATCTTCCCCTTGAGTCGATTTCCGCAGGTACATGGAATGGACTCTCCAATCTCAACATCCTGTAAGTTTGGATATGGTTCGGATATATCCAACATTAAACTTTATTGTCGTTGTTGATGAATAACTGATGCAACGAATATGGTTGTAAATTGATTTAAACTCGTTAAGATATGTTAGCGGTTTAATCAGAATCACACAAGACCCTGTCCAATGGCATTTCATTCCCTGTATAGTCTTTCGTGTTATTTTTTCTTGTGCTATTCCCCTCAACACGTTTTCAGAGTCACGGCAAATATATAAACAACAAAACACACACACAAAAACCCAGTTCAATACGATTGGTTTTTAATAATCAGGTATTCATGTAATTTATCCGATTTTTGTCTTTATTGCGCATGTTCTCTTTAGTGCCAGCACTGATATGCTTGAGTTTATTTTGGGGTAATTAACTTCTTCCGCATAATCTTTGTTTATGTATTTATTACTTACTTTGCAACACTTCCTTTGATGTAGAATATTCTAATTCAAATGTTGATTTTTCACGAATTAATCGTAACGCCCTATTTTGTGGGAGAAATGAATAAATCTAAATCTGTCCAATGTTTCAAAAAAAATGAATGGGAAATCTACGTTCATACCGTACAGGCAATTTAACTGAATTGCAAGCTATTTGAATTGTATTCAATCTCACACTAAAACATATCAATCTCACAATAAAAAGCTGTTTCAGCAACAACAATATTGGATCACGGGCAATGTCTTTACGGCTCCTTTTTTAAGTATAGTTTGCAGAATTGCAGTTGTCGCTAAATTACCTTTACTGATGTTTCTACATACATGTATTGCATATGAACCAAACGTCTTAATCGGTTTTGTATAGACATTCTAAGCCAAAGGGCACATGATAAAAAAAAAGCAAATGAAAGGCTCCGATGGATCCCTACGTTATGGATCCTGAGAGGAGCAGGAACCAGTCTACACAGCAAGAAATGAAATACTGACAGGCGTGTTTGTGAAAACTAAACTAACGAAGGCCGATTTTTATAGGAAATAATTCTGTATTGCGTGGAAAAAAGGCAATGACAAATGGCTATTTTATTCAGGGTTCTATTTGAAGAAAAAAAAGCCACATCAATCTATAATGGATTATGTATAGAAACTTTCACCACGGCGTGGCGTGATTCAGAATGATAAAAGATACGTTCCCCATGCTATTTTGGAGTTTCACCACAAAAAATAATTATTTTTTCAATTGCTACTTTTCCAGCATCGTTACTCGCTTTTGAAAGAGACATCGAACAACAAAATCCACCGATGATTAGTTATTGAATTATTTGTTCACATACTTTGGCTCTCGCAGGGCGAGCTCATTACTTTTTGCACAAAATGAAAACCCGGAATTCCGTCACCCAAATCGGATGGTTTTTTTTCGAGCAAACAAATTATACACATTGAAAATTCGTTTTGAGAAATAAACCTTCTTTAAGAGAACAAGTTTGATGCAACTTTAATTTTGCCAAATAATATTAAGAGTGTTCTTCCCTATTGTAATTATAACTAATTGGCAGAATATTTCAACTTTGCTGTTCTTCATTTGATTTGACAGTTACTTAAAGAATCTTCCCCTTGAGTCGATTCCCGCAGGTACATTTTCTGAACTGTCCAATCTCCAATATCTGTAAGTTTAGATATGGTTCGGATGTATTCAAACTCTTGTTGTTGATAAATAGTTGATGTAACGAATATGCTTGTAAATTGACTTTAAGCTTGTTAAGATATCTTAGCGGTTTAATCAGAATCACACAAAGATTACCCTGTCCGATGGATGTTCAATCCTTGTAGTCATTCATATAATATATTTTGCTAAGCCCCTCAAAGCGTTTTCAGAGTCACGGCAGATACTATGCAATAAAACACACCCAAAAAACCCAGCTCATAACCATTCGTTTTTAATAATCAGGTATTCATTTTAATTATCCGATTTTTGTCTTTATTGCCCATTTTTTTTTTATTGCCGGCACTAATGTGCATTTAATTATTTTTCGGGGGCAATTAAATTCTTCCACGTAATCTTTGTTCATGTATTTTTATTTGACTTTGCAGAATATTCTAATTTAATTGCTGATTTTCCACGAATTAATCTTAACGGCCCTCTTCATGGGAGAAATAAAGTAATCTAAATCTGCCCAATGTTTCAATAAAAATGAGGAGGAAATTTACGTTCATACCGTACAGGCAATTAAACTGAATAGAAAACAAATAATTTCAATTAGAAACAGTGCGTTTAACACAAAGAAACCTTTACATATTTTGCAGTGTATTTCAGCTTTGTTTATAGGCCTATTCTCCTTTTGATTCGACAGTTATTTGGAAAATCTTCCCCTCGTGTCGATCCAGGCTGGCTTTCTTGATGGACTCTTCAATCTCACACAGCTGTAAGTTTTGATAGAATTTCTGATGTCACAAAAGATACTCAAATGTTTATTAGCATTGCAAGCTATTTTAATGGGAATCAATCTCACACTGAAAAAGCTGTTTCAGCAATTCTTTTTTTCATTTTCGATCATGGGCAATGTCTTTACGACCTCATTTTTAAGTATAGTTTGCAGCAGCATTGCAGTTGTTGCTAAAATTACTCTTCCTGCATGACTTAACTACAGCGCGTCCCAAAATATCCGCAACTTATTTTTGCAAGGTTAGCGTCTGCGCGGAAACACGTACCACCGATATACCATTGTCATTTTAAAGCTGAGAATTTTAACTTTATCCCTGACGAGTATTGGTTTGATTTTTAAAAGAGTTTTAAAATTATTTACGTTCATAATAAAGGCATTTCGAAAACAACTGATTTCAAGGAAAATCAATGATGCGGTACATCAGATGCAAACTCGAGTCAACAAGCTGTTGAAATAACAAAAAAACAATTGATTTATACTAAAAACACATTGAACTTGAAACGACGAGCAATATTGTGAATTATTTAAGGTAAAGCACAGGCGTGGATCGAAAAGAAAAGGAAACACAGAACGTAAAAGGCAACGAGATCGTCACATCATGAACATGATGAAGCATTTCCACATTTGAAAAAAATGCGCATGATTGATTTTCCTTGAAATCGGTTGAGTCTGTTTTGACGTGCCTTTATGTGAACACGAATAATTTCAAAACCCTTTGGAAAATCAAACAATACCTACCAGGGATAAAGTTAAGATTCCAAGTTTTAATATGATATAAAAAATAATGGCGGTACGTGTTTCCGCGGCGACGCTAGAGCCTCGCAAAAAAATGTTGCGGGTGTTTTGGGACGCGCTGTAGATACACGTATTGCACAAGAACCACAGGTCGTAGTGGTTTTGTATACACATTCTGAACCAAGCGGCACATGCTAAAAATTTTTTAAAAAATTACAGGCCCCAATGGATAGAATTGGAAATTTGGATTTTACGTCCGTTTTGTTATCAGTAAGCTTTACTTCAACCCTCACAATATGTGCAAGGCACTTAGTATGGCCTACAAATATTTGAACCTATTTAAAAATTATTGCTATCATATACAAAAATAACATTGATCCCAATTCCAGAAAATTGGTGAAAAAAAAGATGTCCAAAAAGATTTCGCAAAAGTTATATCTCAAAGTTAAGATAAATACCTTTTATTAAATTTTTATAACGAGGCAAAGTCTCGATGGATCCATAGTTAAACAGATGAAATATTTAAAAGAGAATTAATGCCCCAGACAACTGGTTGCTTAGAATATGGGTTTGGAGTATGCCTGTTTTAAGTGTCACATCAAGACCATGTTTCATTTCTGATCTTTTTCAGTGTACTGTTTAACATATCAGGCACTTTGACTAAGCTCGATAAGTTCGCCTCTGACGAGTTACCAGCCTTGCAAAAAGCGTAAGTCATAAAATCGATTTCAATAGTTTTATGAAACATAGATGAAGCTGCCTGGGGAAGTGATGTTCATCCCATACCAAATTCTTATCCAATTCACGACAGCGTTAGGCTAAATGCTATGTGCAGTTCTGTCCAAAAATGTCTTAATACATTGTGTGTAGTCTTCAATAAACTTTTTTTTAAATTACATTTTCAGATACGTTGATGACTACCGTCTTTGTTGTGCCTTATCCAAGTTGCAGCATTTTTCTATCGAGCAAGATTGTTTAACTACAAAGCCTAAACCAGCTTTGAATCTGTGCGACAGCCTTATGCCAAATAACATACTGCGAGCGGCGTTGTGGGTTTTGGGAATGAGCGCGCTTATTGGTAATTTCTCTGTCCTGATTTGGAGGCTTATGCAGAAAGGGGACGGAGGGGGTAAAAAGACACTCTCATTTATGGTAGGAAATCTGGCTATCGCGGACTTCATGATGGGTGTGTACATGTTAATCATAGCTGGTGCAGATCTTACATTTGGCGAGGACTACTTTCTTGTGGCTCCTGAGTGGCGCACCAGCGCATTGTGCAAACTTGCTGGAGTTCTGTCAGTTCTGTCCAGCGAGGCTTCGGTGTTTTTTGTGACACTCATCAGCGTAGACTGCTTCTTAGGCATTGTGTTTCCGTTGAAAAGATTCTCTCTGGGAGGAAAATCAACAACAATCATCATTGGTATCTTATGGTTTCTGGCACTTTGTCTGAGTATCGTGCCGACACTTTCATTTGGGTCTGATTCTGATATATATGGACTTTCGGATGTTTGTATCGGCCTGCCCCTTACCACTAAGGCATCTGATGTGATATTGAGAAGGTCGACGGAGTCTTTGTTTTGGGTTCACGGCTTTGAAAGTGCCCACGCCACAGGTGAGAAACCATCTTGGATCCTGTCAATCGTTCTCTTCCTTGGGGTCAATCTAGTTTCTTTTCTTCTTGTCCTGTGTTGCTACGTCGCCATCTTCATCAGTGTCAAGCACACAAGAAGTACTGTCGGAGTGAATGCCCACAGGGAGCGTGATTTTAAAATGGCGGCCAAGATGGCGCTGATCGTGATGACGGATTTCTGCTGCTGGATGCCTATAATCATCCTGGGGATTCTGTCTCAGACGGGAACAGTCACTCTATCCACCGAGGTGTATGCATGGGTTGTGGTTCTGGCTCTACCAATCAACTCGTCCCTGAATCCTGTCCTTTACACTTTCCTCACAGTTTGTTGCGCGACTAAACCAAAAGTAAAACACCGAAAGTGAATCAAACAAACCAAAATCGCAACAAAGTTCAACAAAGTGCAGTGGCGGATCTACGGAGGGAGGGGTGGAGTAGGCGGTCTCTCTCCTCCTCCTCCCCCCCCCCCTCCCACCGCAAAAAAGGGAAAATTATGCACAAAATGTACATGCTAGGGCCCCCCCCCCTCCGACAGCTACACACCCCTCCCCTTGAGCCAGAGCTGAATCTGTCCCAGCAAACATACACATTGCAAAGGTTTGCTCGAAGCATATAATGTGTTATTACCAAAGTGACTCATACCTGGGGAAAATAATGAAAAATAGCCGTGGCTTTGAGCTGTGAAAAGCCAAGGCGAAACCGTACCTTGGTATCAAGGCCCCAGGTACGGTTTTTTTTAATCCACATTTCATTAATGTTTATGACATTAAGACGTCCGGTTTCACGAAATCATCAATTTTGTAAAAGCTGGGTGCTGTAAAATTTCAATTTCTTTCATTGACTAAGGATATAGCAAACTGCTCATTCATACTCACTGTGAATGCTTACAGCTAAATAAAGCCGATAATTAAAAAAGGATTCTGCCGATTTACTTGACCACAAGCTTACAGATATGACGTGTGCTGTTTATGCATGATTGCGCAATCTTTCCATTTTATGCTACACGTACGTGTGATTGTTGGACGAGTTTGTTCAGTTTGGAGGTATTTTCTGTCAATTTTTGCTGAAATGGGACGATCAAAGGTGTCTTCAGAAAACATTCAATGCGGGCGACTACACGTGAAATCAACAGCCTACCTCGTTCCCATGTGTCGCGAGCAGTACGCTCCCACCACTCCTTCCTCTCTCATGTCACCTGGTATTACATCAAGATGTTCAAAAACCTTGCACATTTATGCAAATTAGGAAAAGTCTGGTGCCTTGGCTGTGCTTTAAATCAGTCTTTGTTTTTGTGTGCGGTGCATGGGGTAAAAACAGAATCAATATTCGTCGCGGCGTGAGATCCGAGAGCATAACTTTCAAGTTCAAAGTTAAAATGTTACAATCTCATCTGATAGCCATATATGCAGTCATGATTGACTCATTGTGACCCTTTTGATGATGGAGTTCCAACTCTGCCTGTCCAAAGTTGACCGGTAGGCTGAGGGCAGAGACATGCCTGTCAGCTCCTTTAATCCATCGGTACAGCGGAGTTTCTTAGCTGTCTGCCGCATGAATGACTGCTTTCAACATTTCCTTGAACAATAATCTTCTCCAGATTATCTCCTTCTCATCTTGAAACATGGCCCAAATACTACAGTTTTGTTTGTCAATCCTCTGGCCCACGGTGGTCGTATCGTCCCCAATCAACTTTCTGACGTAATCATTTCTCTTCCGCTCCTTCCGTGACAATATTCTCAACATCTTCCGCTAGCACCACATCTCGAAAGCATTCATTCTGTTTCTGCCTGCCTTTTCAACTGCCCATGTTTCAGACCCATAGGTGGCAATCGGGACAATATGAGCATTCAAGACTTGGATTGGTGTGGTTCTAGAAATTCCTCTGTCCTTCCATTATGTCGGTGAGGGCGAAGGCTGCTGACCTTGCCTTCGCGAGACGTCTTTTGATTTCTTGAGAGCTTCCGCCATCACTGACAATTAGGGAACGCAGGAAGTTGAAAGTCTTGACAACTTCAATGTCCTCGCCATCATCTTGTAATTGCTGGTCTGTCACTCCTCCACTCATCGTAACGTTTGTCTTCCTAACGTCGAGGCACAGTCCGTATTCCTCACTGGTCCGTTTGATTCGGTCAATCTGGTCTTGGAGTTCTGCTGCTGTTTTAGCAATCAAGGTGGTGTCGTCTGCATATGTGAAGTTTGTTTCTCTGACGATCCGATTGATACCTGTCCCACAAAACCATCTAGAGCTTTCCTCGTCATGTATTCTGCATCCCTATAATGCATCCCTGACGCACTCCTTGCCCAATTGAGAACCACTCGCTGTCTCCGAACTCTGTTCTTTCGGTGGCTTCCTGACCTTGGTTTAATGCTCTGATCAGTGTGATCACAATGTGCAGAGAAACCCATTTCCTTCATGATAATCCACAGCTTCGGATGTTGAACACATTCAAATGCCTAAGAATAGTCAGTAAAGCAGAGGAACAAGGGTTGTCGAAATTCCTGATGTTTTTCCATTCGATTCTTCAAATTTTCCCATCTGATTCCTTGTCCCTCTTCCTTTCCTACATCCAGCTTCTTCGGATGGTAACTCAGTATTATTATAAGCAAAATGGAAAAGGGGGAGTGATTTTTCAGTTGGAGTGCACATTAATTCAAATTGAACGTTAAAATACTGAATGTACGTTGAAATAAAACATACACGATATAAATCCATTACTTGCTATTGATGTGTCGAATCAGGATACAGGAAGCAAGTTTCCCACAGGGTTTAATATTGGATGCGTAGCTGAAAATAAAGTAATCCCTGGGGAAGAGGTTGATCAACTCCGCCATTGCATCACTCGATGATGTAAGTTCCTTTTTCCTAATTCTAACAAGCCATCAATTTTCAAACGGCAGAAGTTACCAATGAGCCATTATGCGATGAATTTTACCCCAAAGCATGCATTATTTGGCGAATTTCAATAGTTTATACTCTTAATTAATGTATGGTGATAATTTAAATTATCACAATTTCAAACGGTCATGTAGGTCTACGTCCTACAACAACTTAGCGCGCTGCTGCTGTGATATCACGTCAGGCAAACACTTTACAGTTTTAAGGATTATGAATCCAAAATGTGGCTCTATACTCATTAATTTAAAAAAAAAAGAGGTTGTGCTTAAAGATAGTTCACTGACTTGTCGGATACTGAATCAATTAACGAAGGATTGACGCAAAACTGAACCGAAATACCAGTCAGTTTCAAATGCTAAGAAAGCTGTAACACTGTATATATGTACATACATGCACTACCCATATACTTATTGCACTAACCACTACTTATTTTGCTTATGTAAATTCACATATGCCAAAAAGAAAAAGAAAAAAATCCATGTGCCTAAAAAATAGACCTTCATAATTTTTTACATTTTTGTGAGAATTATTTCTTTTTTTCATTCTTTGCATGAAGATTGACATTGCGAGAAGCTTGTGATTGTTAGATTTGAAATAAAGGGCCAATTTTTTTTATATCGTGGGCCTATGAAGTGTAATTTCAATATGACCGTCAACTAATTAATGCAATATTTTGAAACGAATGGTATAGGAAGTTTCGCATTGCTTACGCCTTTTGCTGTATAAAATGCTGTGGTTATGAAGTCGATATAAATAATTTGTTGATGTACTGTGGCTTAAAAGTACTGAAAACGGAGAATGTAATCTCATGTGTTCTTTATACATTTATTGAAAATTATAATCAGTGTTAATACATGGTGAGTAAAAAAAAAAGCGGAGCCCAAAACCCCCAAAATCTGATATTTCATATTTAAAAAACTATGTAGCCTAAAAAATTATAACGACTGGAAAGCCGATTCATAAGCTACTTTTAGATGACAAAAATTACTGAAATTGCTCAATCGGTTTAGAGAATATTATCACCGTTTAAACGCAATGACCCTAAAACCTGTTTCGTCCAAAAATAAAGCAATTTATTGTGTATTCTGATTGTTGGGAACAACAAAGAAGATGACACAGAATACTTGTCTCAACACCTGTCAACAACTGTAGTATACTGATCTTGATTAACAACTTGTTAGGCAAAGAGTGTGATACATAAAATCCACTTTTGTTTTAAAGACGGGCCTACAAAAGGACTTTGTTGAATATTGTTAACTTTTAAACTGAGACTTTATCGCTGGTGATGTTTGAAGACAATTGACGACGATTCTTGAAATCGCATCTTAGAACGAAAGAGGTTTTAGGGTCATTGTGTTTAAAGGGTGATATTCTTCGAAGGGATTGATCAATTTCAGTATTTTTTTCATCTAAAAGTAGATTGTGAAATTTGCTTTCCAGTCGCTATTATGTTTGGTGCTACATATTTTTTTAAATATGAAGTATAATTTTTGGGGTTTGGGGTTCCGGGTTTTTTTTACTCGCCCTGTATCGATTCATTTGAGCATGGAAAGAAAAAGGAAAGCACTGCAGGTGATTGATTAAAGAGAAGTTTAACACTTGCTAAGAAAAATAATTCTGTCCATGACTGTGTGAGCTTCACATGGATGAGAAATCATTGTTAGAAAAAAAAATGCTTAAGGAACAAGTTTATTCTGCTAGGTTAGTGATGTTAAAAAAATGTGGCTCTCAGAAATAAAAGCTGTATAAATGTAAAAAGATGTGTAAGATTCATGAATTGAGTGTCCCTCCGCATGTCTGTCTAAGCTCGTTTAGATTAAGAAAGTGAGGACTACATCTGTGCAATGAAACACAATGGATGCTTATACTCCCAAATGGCAGTCTAGCTGAAAGCTCCCAGAAAACACAATGAGATTATTAAAAAGGATAACCAATGGATGTAGATGAGCACTTTAACGGGAAAACTATTTTGGAAAATAATGTAACCGATAGCGTAATTTTTATTCCTAGGAGGGTTAGGGGCAATGTCATGAATAATTCATGTTTATCCATGAGAACGGACAATGACATCAACAGTATTGTTGTTAGTTACTCAACTAGTTAAAATACATTAAAGCATTTTAAAGAACGGTTGTCGTCGAGCTACCACACAGTAGCCTAGTGGATAGCGAGATGAGCTATGGATACAAAGATCCCTGCTTCGAATCCACGTCGTCGCTGCTCATTTTCATCAGCTATTTTTCTTCTCCAAATTTATCACTGAGATAATTTTAAATTAAGGGGAAAATAGAATGAGAACCTAAGTCTTGCTTAGCATATTTTTTTGTGCTTAGCAACGCCATGAAATTGGCCCCGGTCTCAAACTTCACAGATTTTATACTCCTATATGGAGACAATTGTAGTAAAGTGTCTTGCCCAAGAACACAAGCACCATGTTCCCCGACAGGATTCGAACCCACGTACCACGGCACACGAGTCGAACACCGTTACCATTGGACCACAGTGCTCCGTTTACGCAGGGCAGTTCCCAAAGAGGCAAAAAATTAATTCTTCTGTGCACAAAGTTTACAAAAAACATCCTAACGAGTGCCCAAAAAATCACTAACCACGCTTCCTGAGGCCGACAGGCTAAAGAAAACACACACAGTCACCGTTTTGTTTCTTAAAAATATAGCACATAATATTCTTTAATTTTTCATGTATACAACAGTTTGCAGAAAACAAAAACAAGTTTACGTCACACGACAAAGTGTCATGCAGTACATGTCAGTAAAAACACAGGGGAAAAAAAGCTCATAAAAGCAACGTAAAGAAATTATGTATATATCTACAAGTATAAAGACTTAATTGAATCCGACACAATATTCAGCATGGAGAGGTGAAAACTGCTTTGACACTTTGAGGGAAGTCGATGAAGGAATCTTTGTCCACTGATGCTTGATGTTTTTATTGTAAATTTTGAAAGGAAGAGCTTTGCTAAGTACAAGACCAGATCAAATTAGCCTTTAGTCAAGGCCCACGCGGCTACCCGGTCACGTGGCACTCCCCGGAGCCAGCACGTAGAAAGACTAGCCCTTTCATGTGCCAGCATCCGGGGTGCGTGTCCAGGTAGCCGCGTGGGCCTTGACTTAAGGCTAAGATCAAATACACTCGGATGTTGAAACGTGGCAGTACTGTTTTTCAACACATCAAATCTCAATCATTTACTCGGGTTTGGATTTTGTTCTGGAAATATTCAGTTTTTGGAGCTTTTCACCAATACTAAACACAGCAAAAAATACCGGGTGAGATTTTCAAAGCAGTTTGTCGAGTCAAGCCAATTTTGATCAAAAGCGGTTTCGGTCTTTCAAAATGATCAATGCCACATGGAATTGTTGACAGCATGAATATTACGCATTGTACCAGCACTCACAAAAGGCCTAAGACATAATGACGTCACGCTTTGTTTACATATGTGCGCTTTCCTATGTAGTAGACGGTCCTCACTTTGTCTGGCGTCCCGACTTCACTTCCATCGGAAAGTGCATATGTAAACAAAGCCATTACGTCATTATGTCTCAATGAATTGAATTTTGGATGTAGGAGTTTTTCAGCTCACTTCCCACAATATCAATAACACCTTTATGTGTACGCACTGTTAGCAGGTTTCCGAGTTGGATATGATGTACTTCTCAGACTTTCCACCATTTGGAATATACATGTATTATTCATATTTTTTTTATTCTTTAGGTTTTATCATCAGTAAGTCTTACTAAGTGATATTTATCAAAGAAAACCCACGGCGTAATTTCTGTCATTAATTCCCCAGAAAAATTGACATTTTGAACAATTTTGTCCAAGTTTGCGGAAATGGAAGGAATTGTCCAGTGTTCAATGAGTTTAGGCCGAAATGGCATCCAAGCTAATAAAGACATGAAACCTGCACTAGAAAGTGAATTTTTGTTATTTGAATTCCCTGTTTGGGTGTTATGTATATTTGATCAAATTTACCAATTGGACAAATTTATTCGAGCCGAATACACTGGGCTTAGATTACAGAGTTGCTCCACAAAAATACCAGACCAAATTTGTTCCATGTAGAAATTGGCCGATTTTGAAAACATCCCAGTCATTTCGCCCAAAGTTGAGCCTGTTCGTTTTTCCAGACAACACATTTTATGATTTTACAGAACAGATGAGATAAGGGTTTGGAACGAAACATAACCGGGGAAGCATGGAAGAGTACAGAGTCAACTTTCAGATCACTGCCCGGCTGGATATGCCAAGACGCGCCATTTTCAGTTGCTCGCAGTCTCAGGCATTCAACGCGCTCACCGCACATCTGAACACGCTAACTGCAAGCAGACAACCTTGCGTCTCCCGACAACCAACAAAACGTTCATCGTAACAAGCTTAATAATACTTTACAATGTTTCTTTTTAAAGTTATATCTATAAAAAAACAACAACAGACTTTTCAAAAGGAAGTCTAGTCGTTTATCTGTACAAATTGGCAGTTGAATATAAGACTTTGTATCAAATATACACGAATGGGCAAACAAGCAGCCTAAACTTCCACAGGTCCTGGCTGCCTAAAAGAAATGCCTCCTGATGTTTAAATTACTCTCATCTCAGATTTTAAATTTTTACAGAGGCTTTGTAAGTTTAACTATTAAGTACGCATAAATTACAGGGGGGACAAAGCTCGTAATAAAAACAGCTAAGGAGGGTGTGGTTAAAAGCTCAATGGGACATGATCTGGAAGTATAGACCACAAGCATGCTCCTAATGACGAAGGGGTGTTACACGTGGCCAGCGGTTTCATTGGAGGATTCATTAAAAAAAGACAGTTGTGTTGTCATTCAGTCAGGACCACAATAACGTTTTCCAATAACGACTTTATATCAAGGTAATTAAATAAGCATTATTACTTAAGGCCAAAAAAAAAAGTTTCCGGT